TCTTTTTCTCCATAGCTCATCCTGCATTTTTAGTTCTGAGAATGACCATTGAGATTTTACAAATTTTATGCTAATCTAGGAATTGCTTTGTGTTGGGAAACACTGTGCCAGCTGAGTCACTCGTTTGAGTGACACGTCACAGAGAAATGAAGTGACAAGTCTAAAGTAACACAAAAAATGACAATATGTAGTATAAATACAGACTTGACTATATGTTAAATTTTGTTTTTAAAAAAAGAATTTTAGACTACATAGATGTAAGACACTTATAATTTATATTTTGTTTATTTATTTATTTTGAGATGGAGTCTTGCTCTGTCACCCAGGCAGCAGTGCAGTAGTGTGATCTTGCACTGCATCCTCCACCTCCTGGGTTCAAGCGATTCTCTTGCCTCAACCTCCCTAGTTACTGAGATTGTAGGCATGCACCACCATGACCAGCTAATTTTTGTTATTTTCAGTAGAGACAGGTTTTCACCATGTTAGCCAGACTGGTCTCAAACTCCTGACCTCAAGTAATCCACCCTCCTTGGCCTCCCAAAGTACTGGGATTACAGGCATGAGCCACCACGCCTGACGACACTTAAACATTTAGACATGGTAATACATTTACCTTAAGGACCATATTCCTAACTAAAACAAATCTTGGTAATTTTGACCTCAAATTTTTGTTACTAATAATTTAAATTGTAGTAACAAAATGTAATTAATTTTGATGGACATTAATTCTGATGGAAAAATGTTTATATTCTGTCTCTCAACACACACACACACACACATACAGACATACATACATGGATAAACTCATATACAAACACACACACATTCTATTTAATATACAAATACAGTTTCAATTATAACACTGTATCATGACACAGTTGTAGTCAGCCACCTAAATAGTTTATTTTCTATAGCTTTATGTTGATAAACCGTTAATTAAACTCAAGGTAACTGGGTCTGCTTTCCTTAGAATCGTCTTCGTACATACATTTTGCTTAGTAGTCCTTGGAAATTCACTTAGTACACTGCAAAATATCAAATATCTAAAGTGTGAGAAGAAGTTAATGGTCTACTCTATGCCAACTGTTTGAACCTGACCTAACATAGTCAATAAATATAAGTTGTTAGAAATGGTTTATACCACCCTCTACATAACAGTGAAAGAAATTATATAACCCGAACTGAAAACCAGTATTTTTTTTTTAATTTTACTCAATTTTGAATAAAGTAACAAAAATATTAAATATTCGGAAAATATACACCTATAATGTCACCTTTACTGCTATTTTCCTAATAGCAGCACTGTTAGCACTATGGGATCATTAAACTTTATATTTCAATTACTTCACTATTGAAACACTTTGGATGGAGAGTCTCTTTAGAGACTACATTCATTCATTTTAAGTTTTTACCAATTTAATTTTTTTAAATGTACAAACCACACTACAAATGTTCTTTCTGGTCCTGTATTCACATTGTCTAATATATAAAGGCCCTTGTTATTTTCAGTTGATGAAACAAATTCTAGAAGAACTAGAAATTCAAAATTTTGTTCTTTAAAATTTCGAAGGAAACATTTGATATGCAGAATGAAGCAACTTTATAGCCCTGATCGTATTTTTTAATGAGATAACATTATGCCAAGCTACACAAGCTATTTTTAAAAGTAAATATTTGCATTTTGTCTATTTATAGTAACACCTTACAGTTTTAGGAAAAGCTGTATCATTTTGGCTTTAAATTCTCTTTTCTGAGTACCTATTGAGAACAAAGTGAATGATTCAGTTCAACCAAGCACACTGATCCACTCAAAGTATGATGATTGAGATGTATGTATCCCTTATACTTGTGCTAGATATCATATTAATTACTCATAACTACTCTATTTCTCTTTTATAGATACGAACAATTTTTACTGCCCAAGTTATTAAAATATTATCCCTCATTTTATCTGTATGGTATGTGCACATAGACTTTTCAGAATTAAAAGGTGCAAAACATAATGACAAAATTCTTTAATTTGAAAATTGCATGCTATATTTGTATGGAAGTTCACAAACACCAATATAATCAATAATCTCAATTTAAAAAAAAAATCCTCTCAAAAAAAACAAACAAAATGGATCTTGTAACCCTATTTAGGTAATGGTAACTGAATATAAAGTTAGGTGGAAAGTAGAATTTTAAATTTAATGCAATTTTTATTTCTTCAAGGCACTATCTTCGAAAATTAGCATTTGGTGCTAAGTTTCCCAATTAAATATTTATGGCTTTATTGGGTAGAGTTTGGTGTTTTGAATATTTTTTTTAAAAAAACCTACCTCACAAAAAATGTCTTATAAATATATTAATGGTTCTCTGCTAAACTAGTGATGTATGAGACTTATGAAACAATGCCAGGTTAAAATTCAGCATACTTCTACTATTCCAAAAACATTGTAAACTTAGGCAAATCACTGCCCTCTCTTGACTCTATTTTGTAGAGAAATTTGGTCCAAAGGAATATTTCTCAACAGGAGAAATTTTACTCTGAGTGACAAAGAAGTAGGAAGTAATTAGGGCTTTCTGTATAACAATTTCTAAGAGTTTGCTTTTCCTCATTGTTTATATCTACCTATAACTGTAATACAGCATACATTCTGTCAAAAAATGGGGTGACCCCTGCAATGTTTGTTTTGTATGTTTTTGTTTTAAAACAAGTTGACATTCATTTAAATGTAGTTTTATAGCAACCCCCCCCATCCTAAATGGACATATGATCTTAAATGTATAGCCTTCTAATTTCCATGTTTTAGGCCACAGAAAGTTTGAGCTACTTCAGTAAGGATTCCATTTTGACTCAACAGAATTATTACAATATTTAATTACATTCTTCATTATTTAATGCCTTAACAACACATTCATTTCCAACAATACTAGTGCAATTTCATGACATTAAATGTCAATCTATATAACACATACAATATCAAAATGTGTTTTTAAATACACGTTTTAATTAAATGAACCATCTTTTAAATTTGTTTCTATCATGGTAATGCCTAGGGTTTTTGATGCAATAATCTGTGAAACTTAAGATCTCTGGAAAAGTTTTAGAACCCCGGCTCTCAAGTCCTGGTTCTTTAAGAATGTTTCTTTCTTCTTGGTGATTCTCAAAAATAAAAATCATCATTCTACTCCAAATGTCAAGAGAAAATGAATTAATGCATCTAGATTTTTCTTTACTTTTTATGTTACCAGCCTTTAAGAGGATCACAAAATATAAGGAGAACCCAGAATAAAATATGATGAACTTGTGTTACTAATATTCAAGTATATAATTGTGGGCCTGCAATAAAAACATAAAGCCTTGTTAGACTTTTATAGAAAATCTTTTATTCTCTTTAATTTTTAAGGGCAATTGCTTATACAGTTTCCTTTTAGGAATTTATTATCTGGGATTACTTCTCTTATTTTCAATGATACACAAAAAAGGCAAAAATGAACTCTTTGAAGAACAGTTCAATAGTCCAAATTGTACTGAGTTAGAGATTATTTCAAATTCAGTGCTTTGTCTGAAAACATTTTCATTAGCATTTGCAGTTAGGACTATGGAAAAATTGGAGTATACACTATCAAAGAGCAAATTATATTTTCCAACTGTTAACTAGCATTAGAAAGGGCAACATCTTTAAATACTCATTAAAACTGTCTTTTGAAAGCGTAATCATCTAAAATCAGATACTAAAACATTATATTCCCAGACTTTAACCTCTCTTCACTAGTTTCTTCCAGCAACAAGGCCTTGGTAGTCAGTCTTTGCACATAATGATCAACTTTACCAAGAAAAGAACAATCTACATACTGTATTATTTATTGACAAGTTTGAAATTTGTGACTATGTGTCTACTCATTAACATGTTCCTGTAAGTGATCTTTAAAATTAAATAATCAGAAACCGGGTCCAAATTTATTCTTATAAAAACAAAAATAATATAACATGGAAGGTATGCCTTTATTTGAGGCTGTTACAGAAAGGGAGAATACCCAGAACTCAAACCTCTCCCCTTTTATTTATGAATATTTGTATCACTTACTTCAAGAATACATATCATTTCTTTTGGGGATGACAGCAATACTGACAAACAGTCCTTGCTATGACTGCCATTTTGTCATTGCTAAATCATCCACAAAATTGTGACCTGATTTTAGTTACCAGGGACAAAGCCAAAGCATGGAATTGAAGTTTCATTCTTATTAAACACAAATAGCCAGTGCATAGAAACCTTTTAAATCAGATCTATAACCCAGTAATTAAAAAACAAAAAAAAACCAAAAAAAAAAAAAAAAAAAAAAAGGAAAGAAGAAAAGGGAAGGAAAGGAAGGAGTGAAAGAAAGTAGGAAAGAAGGAAAAAATAAAAGACACCTTAGGAGCCTGATACAATTACACAGTAGGCCTCTGACATTCTCTATGCTGGTATAATAACTAAATGGCAAGTAACATGGGTGTAAGATCCCTGTTGCATGCTTTCATTCAAACTAAAAATTTACAACAAAATCAACCCTTGGGAAAATTGCTCTTTGGTTTAAATCTTCATTACCTTCTGGAATTTTGGTAAACTCACTTTATTTTTAAATTAAGCTGGCCCCTCTTCTTTACTCCATTACAAAAGTCAAACACCAAGAACCAGACAAATTTCAGAACGAAAAGAGTTTTGTTTGTATGTGTGTTTTTAAGTCCAACCCCTGTATACAAATTGTTAAAAAGCAGATGTTTTAACATAGTGCTTTATTCCAACTTATCCTTGAATGAACTTCCTTCAAGTTTCAACCATTAAAAAAAAAAAAAAAACAGTCAATTTCCTGGTGGTTGTAATTTAATTAAGTAACCTTTCATACTGAGCAAAACCCAAAAGCAAAAGGGTCATTAATCTTTCTAGTGATTAGAGACACCTCTAGGGCTTCAAACATTTACCTCTCCTTCCCCGCAGTAGAAATGCTTTTAGGAGGATCATGGTTCATACCTCACATTCCCTGGAGCCAGAGATGGTATATGTGCAGGGCCCAGATCCATTAACCGATATATCCATGGTCTCAGAGTTTGTAGGCTTGTAGTCCACATAATACTCCTGTAAAGGGGAATTCATTTGTCTTTCAGACTCTCTGGCCTTTTTCCGCCGCCTCTTCATAAGAGAGTGTTGCTGGAGTTGTTTCATGCTGGCTGGGTAGCGTTTCCAAGACACATAGATCACCAAGAGGATCATGGCCACTGACAGAAAGAGAGCCACACTCCCTGCAATAATTTTGTGAAATGAAACATGCTCATACTCTTGCTCTGCGCCAGGAATCTGAAACCCTGGGGAAGGGCTTGGTGTTTCAAAGGTGGGTTGGGTGACGTCAGGTTTGAAGATGGTAGGTTTAGGGATAATCAGAGGTTTCTGGGGAGTTTGGGGCACCAGGTGTGACCTTTCTGTGTGGACCACCTGGACTTCAGAACAGATATTATATGTTTCCACTGCATCACTAACCTTTTCACCCTGGATGTGCTTAGGTCCTGCACATATCATGGTGCTTTCCTTATTTCCTTTGAAATTCTTAAGCCAATAAAATAAAGGACAAATGCTCCGACTGCATTCCCACATATTTCCAGACAAGGTGATGGATATTAATGATATCCACGCATTGACAGTTTCCTGTGAGATGTTGGTGAGCTTGTTGGAATCCAAATTCAATTTTTGTAAATTGGGGAGGCATTTAAATGTGCCCGGCTCAATTCCTTGGATGTCATTCCCTGATAAATCCAAGTTGTGTAAGGAACTCCAAGTCCATGTCAAACCTTGGCTAATGGAGCGAATCCTGTTCCATTGTAAGTAAATTGAGCGGAGGTTGAAGAGACGTGGAAAATGAGCAAAGTTGATCTTGGAAAACTGGTTGTGCTCCAAGTGGAGCTCCTTTAACTTCAAGAGGCCAGCAAATGCATTTCGGGACAAGCTGCGAAGACGATTGTAACCCAAATCCAAAAAATCAAGATTCCGACAGTCTTGAAAAACTCTTATGGGTACAGTCTTTAGTGAGTTAGATCTCAAGTGCAAAATGATGAGTTTCCGAAGGCCTTTAAATTGTTCAGATTGCAATGTCTGAAGCTTATTGTAGGAGAGGTCCAGATTGCGGAGATTGGGAACTGGGTGAAATGTTTTATTGTGCAGATAAGTAATTTTGTTGGAGCTTAGAATTAATTCTTTCAGTCTACGGATCCCTTGAAATGCATCTTCATCCACTGAGCTAATGTAATTATGGTCAAGATAAAGCCATATAAGCTGGTTAAGGCCGGCAAACTGATTGGATTTGAGCTTCTGAATGCTGTTGAACCTTAATGATAAGCCTTGTGACCCTCCAGAAATGTTCTCAGGGATATCTGCGAAAGCATGAGACTCACAGTACACAATTTTGCCATCACATCTGCAGTTCTTTGGGCAAGCTCTCTGAGCCCCCGTGAGCATAACAAGCAGCAGTGTAGGAAGTAGCACCAGCACCACACTCATGCCTTTCAGCTGCGTAATTAAATGGAAACCTACGATATTAAAAAAAAGACAGATGCACATTGTGAAGCTATTAAAATAAATCACCGCCGGTTTACCAATAACAGGGGCATTTCCTCTACTGTAGGAATGGGACAGTTGATTTAAGGAAAATGCATTAACATTTTGAGCATTATTTTCTTCAGTGTTGCATGTTTGCTGCTTAGGTTTCACTTTTTCTTCCTTGATCTTCAAATCACCACAGTCCCATAGAACTAAGAAAAGCCTTTTTGAGTTTCAGGAGTTCCTACTTATTTCAACATTGAAAAGCACAGAGCCTTTCTCACCACTGAATGCTGACATTTTAATAACAATAATATTTGACTAGCCACTGTATTGAACGACAGTACCAAAAGGAAGTGTACGATGTACTCTGGTAAGGTCAAAAATGTGACATAGTAAACCTGGTGCCTGTACATCTTTCCTAGTTGAGCAAACAGGCTGTGATTTGGCAAAAGAGCTTCAGTAAGCTGTCAAGGTAACCCAAGTTTGCCCTGCCTGAATCGTGTACTTATTGTATAATAGGATCGCAATGTGTGAGCTCTGGAAAAACAGCATTGAGACTAGTATAGGCAGCCAATGAAGCATTGGATGAAGACAAATACCAGTACGAGGTGCTCTCAAGTTGTTAATAAGCATAGATTGTTGCACACTGTGGCTCCCTACCCAATGATACAGGAGCTAAGACATCTAAACACTCATTAACGGAGAACACTCCAAAGTTAAGACTGTCAAAATTCTTATTAAATATTTGCCTAAAAAGCAAAAAATATTGTGTAGTATTACTTTGTCGTTATTTTAAACAGAGTTGCTTTTGCAAATTCGAAAGATAAGCAAGGAAAGAAGCAGCCAACTACTATTTTTCTCCACATCAGCCTGATCTCTGCTCATTTCTCACTGACTTTTTTCTCCCCAACCTCAATTAACTTCAGAAAGCCTGCGAAGTTACAATCTATTGGCACTTACACTGCATTTCCAAGTCATTGCATGTTAAGGGACTTCTTTCCTCTGTCAACAGTAGATTTATTATTTCTTAATGGAGAGAAAAAAAAGAAACCACTACCGTGTGTTGCAGTTTCTTTTTTTTTTTTCCTTAAATTTTTAAAATTTTAACCAAGAGGCAATCAACCAAATCCCTGATCTAAAACCCATCCTTCTTCTCAGTTAAGTTTTTGGTTTTTTGTTTTTGTTTTTTTTTTTTTTTTAATTTAAAACCCGATCTTGCTGTCTGTCCTCTTGCCAGCTACAGACTCATTGAAATACATTCCAGCTCTTCCAGACAGGAGAAAGGGGGGGGGGGGGGGGGAAGCCAGTCACACTTGAAAAAATAAGACTGGCAAATGACTGCTGGAAATTCGGAAGCTGTGTTCAGAATCCAGCTTCAAAGATAAAACAAACCCGTGTGCAACCTCTGATAAAGTAAGGACCCCACCCCTACACACACGCAGCAAAGTGTTAATAGTCATCGTGACAGCTACCAGAAACATAAGCCTCGTTAATATCATCAAGAAATAGAAGCAAACACAATATTTATCTCATGCTCAATTCCCAAGCTGTGGATGCGCAGACAGCAGAGACAGTCTTAAAGATATTTCTCTAGAGTCTGTTTAAGTTCGTGTTGTGCATTTACAGATTTAAAAAAAAAAAAAAAACAACACTGCAAAAAGGAAAATGATCTAAAAATATAATAGCAAGTATAGTGAATCAACTGGCAAACTCAGAGGCTGCTGCTCTTTGCCTGTTTCCCCGTCTTTTATCTGCTAATGCCACGACTGAGGATAGGAAGCCAAGAGGATCAGCTTTGCTCAGAAGAAAACAACAAAAGTTCACTTACCCATCCTTTGTCATCCAAAAACGTTTCCCCCCTCTCTCAGCTTTCTTCTTATTTGGTCTCTTGTGCGGAAACCACCACCACCTTCATGACACAGTGCGGCTGTCATTCACACCATTCTGATCCCGCATGTGAGCTAGTAGCCCCATACAAACTTCCCCGAGAGGACAGGCAAAAAAAAAAAAAAAAAAAAAATACATATATATATACATATATATATATATAAAAAAAATCAGCACAGGGTGGGATGGTGAGGGGGGCAGGGAAAAGGAAGCCGTTGGGGGGATAGGGAGGGGGGAGGGCCTCTAGGCTCTGAGGACCATTGTGTAATTCACCAGAGACCCATCAGCAGTAATTGGCAATCTGTGCAAAAGAGCTACAGCCCATCTCGGAGGTAACCAACTTCTCCGTAAAAAGAGAGGAAAAAAAGAAAATCTTCAGAATACCTGGCATTCCTTATTGTGCTGGCTTTTGCCATTCCCAGATAAAGCAATTCATCCTCTGGATTTTCAGTTCTTGAAGCAAGTAGGCCTCCTGTGCTGTATGAGACCCCAGTTTAAAAGCTATGCAGGCTAGGTTTATCCATTTAGCTGGTCAGGTTTAAAGTGTTTTGTAGCTGTGCTGAGAGGCAGCCCTTGTCTAATTCAGAAGGCTTTCCAGAGACTGATGATGCTCAGAGCTTGTTGGTGCTAATGCTTGAGTTTGTGATACACTGAGTGCCCTCCGCTGGAGAAAACAGATTGCACATTAAAGACGGGAACAAGTGAGCCTGTCAGTGGTGTGCAGCCTTCCCTTGCTCAGAAAGGGAAATTAAAGGCACAGAATCACTATTTTTTTTTCTCTCCAATAATTTAAAAGGTTTATGCCAAGAAGTTCCTTTTAGTTATACAAAATATTAAGTAAAATACTGTTTCTCTAAATGCTATGCAATTAATAATTTTTCAAAGTTGCCATGACCTAAATTTTGTCTTTTCTGCACATGTCACTGGAGATGTATCATCTTTTGCAAATGACAGAAATGGTTGAAATTTAAGTTTTATTCACTGTTGCTGTTGGTTTGTTTTATTTATTTACATTGTTTTAAACTAACCACTTACAGAAGCAAGCTTACTCAAGGGAAAAATGCAATTTTAATCAATTTTAAACAGGTTACATTTAAAATGTTTAACTCTGATTTAAAAATTCTCAACCTTTGACAATAAAATGCATTTTACAATTTTGTGCATTTTATTGAACAATCTAGAACATCACTTTCTAAAAGTTTACATTTTAAGTCTTAAAGCAGGTATAATCTATAGTATATTGCCAAATGTGAAGGTAACTAAGGGATAAGAGTAGAATTCTAGCTTGACATTCTTAGTGCAGCCACTTTCCTTAAATCATCTACATTTAGAATGCAAATCATTTCTTATGCAAATCACTTATTGTAATGTGCATTTCCAGAAAAACAAAAGCACTTGAGTTCTGCATTATCATGGTATTACTCTAAAATGTGCAGAATATCTTCAGAAGTAGAAGTGATAACATGATAAAACACCTGATATATGTAATTTAAAAGAACCTACACACTTTCTTTAAGCTTGTACAGACGTTGAAAAACATACATATAGTGCATCACCTCCATTTTTTCCTCGTTTTTACTAGTTTATTCCATAATCCTCTGACAGATAACAATTTTTAAAATAATCCAGGAGAATGAATCAATGTAATGCAGGGAGAGACTGCTAGGTAAGATTGCTAACCTAATTTAGCAGACGTGAGAAATTTAAGTGAATTTTACATAAGCATTTAGAATTGCTGTGGATCCCTGCAAATGGATATTTTTAGAAAGAGCCTTGGTTTTAGATTGTTTGCCAAAATATTAATAATTAAGGGGGCTTATCATATAAATAACACATATAATTTGACTCAGATTTGTGAGTAGGCAGTTGCAGGCAATTGTCTCATTACTAAGATTTCTTGAGGAACAGAAAGGAATAATATGTCCCCCAAATATATTCCTTTTCCACTAACTGATACTTGAATTTCTATTTTAGAAATGTGTGCCTTTGGCTTAAGGCTTAATACCTATTAAAATGCAAATGCATGCCAAAAGAGGCAGGATTATTGTGGTTGCTGAAAATAAATATATCAATATAAATGTACACATATGATTTGTTCACAGTGGTGTAGTGTAATATAGAAACACAAACCCCACCCAAATATTAATGGTAGAGGATGAGTGAAGGGAAAATTAATAAAGTAATAAAATAGAACACATGCTGCCATTAAAATTAAAATAAAGGGTGTTATTTACAGATAGGAAATTACACCATCATGTATAAAGTAAGGAAGGGGGGCAGAGAACTCAGATAGTTAAGGGCAGTGAAAGGGAGTCTATTACTGTAAATAAAGCAAAATAAAATATTCAGAGCAGATTTTCCTGGAAGATGGATTATAGAAGCATCTGATTTCATCTTTTATTGTAAAATTGTCTGTGTTTTCTAATTTTAAATCTAATGAATATGTCATGTGTGATATCTATCAATATACGTTTGTGTGTGTGTGTGCACGTGTGTGTGTATACATTTTTCTTTGTTTGAATTCAGGATATAAAAACAGCTTTGATAGTATGTCGGGAAAACTACAGGATATTCTCTACAGCTAGAGTGTAATAACTGGCATATCTATAGTGTAATAACTGGCTAAAATGCAAATTTTGTTCGAAGTACCAGATCTAACAGGTGCTACCTTCCAAAGTACATGCTAGATTATATGCAGAATTTAAAAAGAAAGTGGCCAAAAGTCTCTTGAACACACTGTAATGATACAAAGGGTAAAGAAAGTTGAAAAAAGTAGTGGATGTTGTGCGGAAGATTTGCCTAGAAGAAGCTGTTTTGGTATCATCTTTACACACACACATACACACACACCCTTCACCCAAGAAAAAGTGGTGGGTTTGTTGGCTCCTCAGCTTAACTATAGTGATAGGGACTTCCACAGGCACCTTGAAGAGCTTGTTACGTATTGCCAACAGTGAGCCTAGCAGAAAGGGATGGTATCTGATCTCTGTTGTTATATCCAGAGGATAAACAATGGGTTTTCCAGAGCAAAGGAAAGTTAGTGTTGTGTTGAAATTGAATTTCATTTTCAAAGTTTGTATGGATAAAAATAGGTACATGTGTTTTCCATGGAAGAGAGGAGGGCTATGTGGGAGAGAGAGGGTCAGTTTGAAGCTGTTTTAAATCCTGATGAGACCCCTCCTCCACCATCCCACAACGGAAAGAGTCTGTGTGAGTGCATTGCCAAATCAGGCAAATAAACAGAAAACAAACGGAAACCAATCAAGTGTGGACAGGCACCACATAACTCCAGATAAAAAGTATATTCTTTGTCTATTGTTACTAATAGGGCTACTAAGGATCTATCAATGCATTCACAAAAAAAGAAATACGTTTCAACATCTCTTAGGCTCAGAGATCACAAATCCTTTTTACAGCAATATCAGTCAACCAAGACGTTTCCTGGGCAGTTCAAAACAGCAGTTAGTAGGTGTGGGAGGGGGTCAGCAAGAATGAGAGAAATTGACTATACTTCCTCTTTTTTCCTAGGTAGCAGATAGCCCATTTGCACCTGGTCCTACTGGGGGAATGGGGAAAAATGCTTCCAATTTATATAAAGTATTGATCAACATGATGGACTTAATATTTTCATTTACCAAATTGAGACTTCACATACTAAGAAGATAATAGGATTTCTTTGTTACCCCAAAGAGCATTTAGAGACCACACCTTGGGTCACTTGAAATTGACAATGTTGAAAGTGTTTACAACATAGAAATGGTTGCCAGCGGTGAATCTGTATCCAAACGAGTCTGCAGCAACCTGAATTCTTGCCTCCTCAGAAGAAAGAATTCGACCTAGGAGGCTGAAGGGAGAAGTCGAGACCCAGGCAAGTCTTAGAGCAGGAATCAACGTTTATTAAAAAGCTTTAGAGCAGGAACAAAAGAAAGGAAAGTATACTTGGAAGAGGGCCAAGGGGACAACTTCAAAGACAAATGCCGATTTGACGTTTTGACTTGGGATTTTGTATGTTGCACACTTCTGGGGTCTCATGTTACTTCTCTTCTCATTCTTCCGGTGAAGTTATCTGTCCACATGTGCAGTGGCCTGCTAGAACTTGGGAGGGAAGCATGTGCAGTGTGTTTACTGGAGTGCAACACATGGTACCTTTCGGCATTCTTCTCTTACTAGTACAGTGTTCCTAGAGGAAGGTCATATACCAGTTAAACTCCGTCATTTTGTCTCTTGATGTGCATGCTTGAGCCAACTCACCCAACTTTCTGAGATCTTACTGGGAAGTTGCTGATCACCAGTTTCATGTGTTTTCTATCTACTGGGAGACAGCCCTTCCCTGGTGCTGGCTGTGACCAATTATTATTTTAGAGAGACAATTAGCAACTGCCTGACCATCACCTGATGGTCATCTGATATTCCTGGGTTGAGGAGGGGGGCCCTCTCCTGCCCTGTTCATGTCTGACTAGCTACCCACTGTAACAAAATCAGCAAAGGTTGAAAATTAAGTGTGATTGCAAGGCAAGGTGGCTCACACCTATAATCTCAGCACTTTGGGAGGCCGAGGAGGGTGAATCACCTGAGGTCAGGAGTTCGAGACCAGCCTGGCAAACATGGTGAAACCCCATCTCTGCTAAAAATATAAAAATTAGCCAGGCGTGGTGGGCGCCTGTAATCCCAGCTACTCAGGAGGCTGAGGCAGGAGAATCACTTGAGCCCGGGAAGTGGAGGTTGGAGTGAGCCAGGATCACACCATTGCATCCAGCCTGGGGAACAAGAATGAAACTCTGTCTCAAAAAAAAAGTAAGTGTGATTTATTGTTTTGTTATGTATCTAGACTTAAGAAAGTGATACAGAAAATATTAATAACATAGATTAAATTTTAAAATGTACTGTGCCTGAAGCTATTTATTAAGTTGGTGCAAAAGTAATGGCATTTTTAAAAACCTCAATTACTTTTGCACCAACCTAATAATTGTAAATAGCCCAAAAATGAGAAAAATTCTTCCGGTTTTTGAAAACTATTTTCTCATTGAACAAAAAAGTGACTCATGTCATTGAAAAACAAGTGAAATTTCAATATATGTCTGTCTTGTTTCACTTTTATCTAACTCATTAATTTAAAAAAATCAGACAATACTCATGTTGGAATTACAGCTGGAAAGCCAGTTTTTAAACATTTATATCAGCACACCACTCTACCTAGGGTTAATATATTTACTGCTCCAAAGATGAACTTGTTTTAACAAATAAATGCTAGTAATGGACTGGTTTTGAAGAATCCTTCTCTTTCTTACCCCAGACACAATTGAATGTTAAGAGAAAAAAAGACAACTAAATAAAACACTGCATGTGAGTAACATGAGGCCCCTTTCCAATTCTGACACTTTTTTGCATATAAAACAATCCTACAATATTCAGACCATGGGAACACTGGAAATAAGAACGTATCTGCATTTCTTATTGAAATTTACAATAATGTTTTGGTAGCATCATATGTGATTTTTCTGTTTTGTACTACAACAGTTTGCACCTAGCACCATAGTGACAAATTGTAGATGCTCGAGAAAATATTTTAAAATGGGTGAATGCATTAGTCAATTAATTACTCAACTAATCTTGCAAACACCAATGATTCAATAAATCAAGTAGTCAGTCAAT